TTATCAAATATAATATCCCATCAATCTACTTTCAACACCAATCATAATATTATAAAATGCTATGTGTCTATACTCTGAAATTACAGAATAATTATCCCTAGTTGAATTGATGCCCAATTTGGTAGAAATTTTTTTTTGTAAATTACTCCACACTACTTTAATTTGACGTGAGTTGATGAAATATTGAAACAATGACTTGTAAAATATTTGATAATTCGTTTAAAAACTAAACAATCATATTGAATTACGTCAACTCTATTTGCAAATTAGAAGGTGTTTGAGATGATTTAAACAAGTATATTTTTTACTTTTTACAAAAATAAATATATAAAAATAGAGAGGTGATTTGACCCAAAAAAATAAAAAATTATACTTCCGTAGATTATCTCAAATAGTGCTTTAGAATAATAACTTATAGCACTTAAGACAGTGAGAGTGACGCCAAAGCAAAAGAGAAAGAAGCGGGAATTGGATGGCTGGAACCACCGTTGTGTGGACGATGAGGTAATCTCAAGATTTATTTTGATAATTTGAATAGTTTATTTTTTAAGATGTATTGAGTACAATATATTTGTAAAAAATCAAGCTGGTCAGACATTAATTACCCTTTCATTAAATTACACTTGTACATAAAAAAAATAGTAAATGTGATTTGAAGTATATAAAACTGAATACAAATACAATTCCATGAAAGAGTTATCGGTATCCGCCCACCTTGATTTTATTCAGAATATTTTAGTCAATATATCTTAAAAAGTGAATATTTTAAATTATCAAAATAGTTTCCGAAATGAATCCTATCGTCCACATAACAATGAATGCTATTGCGAGGCACAACAACTACCTAAATTCCAAAAAGAGCTAACCAGGTAAAAAGAGGAGGGACAAACAACCCTTGTAGAAAGACGAATGATACAAATATGGATTAGGGGGTTAGTATTAAGACAAAGCCTAACTGAGAGGAGTGCAATGCCATTTTTGGAAAACTTTAGGAGAAATTATGCAATAAAAGAGCTTTTCTGAGTTTTTGCTATGTGGGTTTCTATTTACATCACAAAATTATCTGAATGCATCTATCTTTTTTATTTTTTAATTATAATTTTGTCTCTTTACACAGTTATCATTAAGGAGTCAAATTCAAAAAGCTTTATCCTAACTTCCACCTTTTTCAAAAAGCTTTAAATTCAAAAAGCTTTTAGCCAATACCTTTACTAAACCACTAATCACTCTACCACCCTTCCGTTCTTCTTGTCATTACCTCTTATCCTTCACTTTTCCCACCCTAGAATTGTTGTGGTGGGGGAGTTTTAGGGGTAGTGGTCGGAGGTAGAAGAAGTGGAAGAAGTTAGAGGCACTAGATGGGATAAGTGTGCAGTTAGGACTTGAAAGATTAAAATAAAAATATATTTAGAATTATCAATAGTAAAATGAAATAAAAAAATCTAAAACTTTAAAGGTAGTGTATTTAAAAGCAGAGTATAATAAATAAAATTATTGGATAAATTGAAACTCCCCGTTATGTACACCTCTCGTTATTGAGTTGGGTTGGGTTAATCCAGGAAAATGATGCCCCAACTTAGTTTGTTCTGTTTTTTTGGGAGTTAGAATTGAAGGTCTATTTTAACTTTACATTCTATTTCTCTTATTTGGTATGTCTTATCTAAGTAAAAATAATCATTCCAATAGAATGACTATTCCAACAAAATTTGAAAATACCTATTCCTTCTTCCAACTTAAGGAATAGTTATTCAATTTTATCATGAAATTACTATAATTTTTTTTTTGGGACACTTAAAAAAAATATTATTATTTAGTTACTATTACCATTCCATTCTCCTACCACCTATTCTACCATCCTACCGAAACTGTCATCACTACCACCACCTTATTGCCACTACTATCACCATCGTACTACCAATGTCACCACTACTGCCACCACTACTATCACTACAACCACTATCACCACATCCAAAACCATATAACCACCACTATCACCATTGTTAGAACTACTACCCTACTACCACCACACCCATTATCACCATTGCCTCTGTCGCCACAACCACTACCTTACCACTACTATATGTCACCTTCATAAATATTACACCTCCACTATCACCATCAAGAGAACTATCACTCTACTGTCGTTGGTCGTTGTCACAGCCACCACCACTACTACCATTACCATTGCAATGACAACACCACCTTACCACCACCTCTAAGGCCACAATAACCTACTACCACCATCTTACTACCATTGATATCAGTACCACCGATGCCGCCACCGCCACCGCCACCGCCGCCACCACAATTACGACTCACACAATCACTTCCACAATTATCAACATTATCATGATTTATATAAATTTGTAATTTATTTGTCACTAGCTTGTTAAAAAATAAATAAATGATAAAAAATTACTTTCATTTCATGAGTTTAATAGGCATAATCAAACATGAGAATGTGAATCATCACTTTATTCCTATGTTATTCCATGTTGGCAACCAAACAATGGAATGGGTATGGACATTCTATTCCATTCATTCTTGTATTTCATTATCACTTTCATTGCATTCTCACTTCATTTCATTCCATCATGCCAAACATACTTTAAGGACATGTACACCATTAAGTCTCACAAGTGTTTGTATAGATCAAACAGTCCTAATAGTTGTACTTAAAGACCTTTGTGACGATTTTATGAATCTATCCCTATAAATTACAATTAGAGACTATTTTTTAAATCTGTCACTAAAAAAAACACACCATTTAATGGTACTTAAGGCTTGGTATGGTTTGGTTTGGTTTGTCACTAAAAATAACAATTGACAACTTTTTGTGACAATTTTTTCAAACTGTCTTTAAAAATTAATAATTAGTGACACTTTTTATGAAAACACTGATGAAAAAAATAAAAAATAAGATTTTGTGATAACAATGAAGTGAACAAGACTTTTTAATGTATCAAAAAGACGAGAATTTATTGGTGTATCTATCTTCTTGCATATACTAATTAATGTATACACTAATATATTAACTAGTGTTATATTATTATTATTATTAGCCTCACCTATTATACAAATTATAAATTTTCAAAATTCTACTATATCATTTGTTAGTATATTAATTGGTATATATAACATTATTCATCTTCTTAATACCACTTTTCAATCAATTCTCCAGTTTTAAACCCTAGTGATGCCTCAATTCAAGTCTCATTTGCCACGCCTGGCTCAAAAAATGGGGTTTTGGCTAATGAAATTTGTTTAGATAGATAAATTTAAATAGAGCATCAAACCTTTGTACCAAATGAAATGGGACCATTATCCATGACTTTTTTTTATCAAAAAGCAGTGTCCACTTCATATCTCTGTCGTGACTGAACTACGTCACCCATAATATACTAGGTGTTTTGGAAAGTTAGTAAAAATCAAAATATGCTTCGTTAACATTTATTTTTTACTTTTTCAATTTTGTCTCATAGGCCCAAACTGTAATTTCAGTGTTGCATTTTGAAAAGTTGCCAAATGCATAAAGTGACGTTTTGGGCCGGGAGTTTTTTTGGAACATGGATAAAAAATGTGACGCTTTTTATTGCTTCCCAAAACGGCACTGAACCTCTATTTGGGAAGTGGGTTGATTTTTTGGCTTTTTAATTTTTTTAACTATTTTAGCCTTGGTTAAAAAGTTTGGTTTGGGGAGAGTTTTTTAATTTTTTGACTTTTTTTATGAGAGAATAGTGTAATAATTATGAGTTGAATGTGATATTTTGTTTGTTATGATTAAAATTGCCAAACGGAGCTTGAGAAATAACACTGACGCGGCGCCAATAAAAAATATTTATAAAAAAATAAAAAATGTTATAAATATTAATAATTAATATTACATTTTTTTATTAATATATAATATTTTTTAAAAAACTATACTTATAGATGAGTTCTCTAAGTTAATATTTTTTCTCTTTTGAGATTGCATAATTACATTCAGTTGTCAGTTGTCAATTTTGGCACATCTCTTTTTTACTTTGTGAGGGAATTTTATCTTTCATCCCTTGCTTTTATTTATTTTTTCTCCTTCAAACTCATGAAACATGTAGACTTATAAAATAGAAATGTGTTCTAAAAAAGTATATTTATTTCCTATCACCTTTAAAAATGCACCCCAACAGTGATAGTTCGTGTGCAACCATGAGATGTAACCAGTACATCTCCAGATGGTATAAACTCCAAGGCATCCTACTGTCTTTGGATCGTGGATTTGACTAGGCATTTGGAAAGGGAAAGGGAAAGGGAAAGGTGAAATCCCTTTCCAAATTCATGACCTGAGAAAAAATAAAAGAAATGGTGTCTCTCATCTACGTGGGAAAAGAAAAGAAATTGTGTTTTGCACTATCCTGTTTAGATGTGTTACAAAGCAAATTATGGCACCGTTTGGGAAGTAAGTTTATGGGCTTTTTTGGCTATTTTAGCCACAAAAGACAAAATAGGCTATTTTAGCCATAACAAACAAAACATCACATCCAACCCATAATTATTACACTCTTCTCTCATAAAAAAAGTCAAAAAAGCCAAAAAGTCAAAAAGCCCTTCCCAAACCAAACTTTTTAGCCCAGGCTAAAATAGTCAAAAAAGTCAAAAAGCCAAAAAGCCAACCCCCTTCCCAAACGGAGGCCCAAGATAACTTTAACGGTGGTTTGAAATTATTTATTTTTAATAATTTTTTAATTTTTTTTAAAAAAATGTTTCAAAAAATCAGGTAGCACAAGAATGCTTTACACCTGTCCTGATTTCAAATACTCCAAAGCACGCGAGTGGTCGATGTAATTATTTAACGGTGATGACGTATGAGTACTCACACTATAAACGTACCTCCTCCCACACAGTTTTCTACCTCCTCTCCGTCTGTTAAAAAACCCAGTAAACAAATCCGAAAAGCAGAGAGAGATACAAACCAATACAAACAAACCATACTCTCTCTCTCTCTCTCTCTCTCTCTCTACACATTTCACTCTCTCCGCCGACTTCCTAACGGTTCGCTGTCGCTCTCCGGCGGCGTTGATCCTCCGTGCGCCGTCGATACTCTCGAAGCTTCTCAGGTGCCGTGTTTTTGCACTTGGAACTCTCATTTCCGGTTTATACGGTTTTGTTTACCTCTCTTCATTCGAATCGTAATAAGAATCAGACGGTACTGATCGATTTCTCACTTTATCTTCTCGATTTCTCGACTACTGTGACTCTGAATCGATTGTTACTACTGTGAAGTTCTTTCCTTGCGGCTTTTTATTTGTTAGATTTTTTATTTGCTTGATTGTAATGTTTAATTAGTCCGTGTAAATTATTCTGGGTTGTATTTGCTTGAAATTGATAGTAATTTGGGTTTTTAGGTTTTGTTCTTGTGAATATCTGATGTCTAATTGGCTTAATTTTTGTGTTCTTAAGTGTGATTTTAGTGAATTTAAGGGCATGATTTTTGCCCTAGTTTGTGGTTTGATTGCAATCTGTGAATGAAGATGGCACTCTGAACTGATTTGATTTTGTGTGTAGCTGCTGGTAATGCTTATCGTTTGGCCGATCGAGCTGTTTGTGCCATATAATCAGTTTGGTTGCTGAGAAAATTGAGCAAAAGAAAGGACAGATGCTTCAAAATCATTTTGTCTCACTGGTTCCAAAAAATATAAGGATAAAAATAAAATTCACCCATATCATATCTGTAGGAAATTACTAGATGGTAGCTTGTAGTGCTGGATTTTTAGTGTTTTTCCATTTTTTTCCTCAGTTTTCTTGGTAGCCAAACGGAATCTAAAATGAAATTCACCCATATTTCTAGGAAGTAACTAGATAATAGGCATGTAATGCTGGATTTTTAGTTTCCTTCCATATTTTCACTTAGTTTTTTTAGTTTCTTTCCATATTTTCACTTAGTTTTCTTGGTAACCCAACGGAGTCTATTTCCCTTTATATGAGTAACGGGTTCCAGAGAATGTGGAAGTAATAATTTTGAGTGTTTTGTTAATTTTTTTTTGGTTTTGAGTTGGAGTTGTTTATGCTCAACTAATTGTTTTTTTATTTTATTTTTATTTTTATTATCTGTTAGGACTTAAGCATACAAAATGATTGGATCATTTCTTACCAGAGGACTTGTGTATGTTGCTCATAAACCCTTTTTCTCTTTTCTTTTTTCTTTTTCTCAACAACCACCAAATTATTCTAAAAGAATTTGGTGTAGTTTAGTGTTTATTTTTGGTGTGTTCAACGACCAATAAATGAGGAGCCAAGATTCTCTTAAAAAAAAAAAAAAAAAAAAACTTGCATTTGTTCAGATTTTGTTCATACAGTAATTAATATTTCTGAACTTTTTTAATGCAGGATGCTTTTTGGTTATGCTTATCCAGCGTATGAGTGCTTCAAAACTGTGGAAAAGAATAAGCCAGACATTGAGCAACTTCGTTTTTGGTGCCAGTATTGGTATTTTGCTTGCTGCAGCTTTTGTCATCAAGACTCGTTTTTGCAAACTTTATTGGTAAATTGTGAAATTTGAAATTTTCAGGATTTTAGTTGCTGTTTTGACAGTGTGCGAGAGAATTGGTGATACGTTTGTTGCATGGTAAAGAACCCAAACTTGAGTGTGGTAACATGTTTTTTGCTTTGATTTACTTGATTTTGTATTTACACTGTGCTCGTCCTCTTATTTTCCTTGTGAAGGGTTCCAATGTATAGTGAAGCTAAATTGGCATTCTTTATATATTTGTGGTACCCTAAAACAATGGTATATAATCTTCCTTTGCATTGGATTGTGCAGTTATCTAACTGTTTCTTCATCATATTTCAATTACCTTTTTACTTCTTTTGTTTCAGGGAACAACATATGTCTACGATTGTTTCTTTAAACCATACATGGCAAAGCATGAGACGGAAATCGATCGTAACTTGTTGGAACTGAGGACAAGGGCTGGAGATATTGCAGTTGTGTATTGGCAAAGAGCTGCAAGCTACGGTCAAACAAGAATTTTTGATATTCTGCAATATGTTGCAGCACAATCTACACCGCCAAGACCTCAACGTGCACAGGTATGTATGGTGAAGTACAATTAGGGAATGATAATACTGTCTTTATATATTTTATGTTGTACTGTACCTTGTATCCTGCACGTCTTTAATCTGTGCAAATCAGTCTTCGTTCTTATTTGCTGGTCTTTTGACTCCTGTGCACCATGAATATCCTTTTGGTGCCTAAAATGCCCAATTTCTTAAAATTGTGTTGGAAGTATGTACTTATTAATTGAACATCGAATCATAGAACAGGGAAAATCTTTTTTTGGGTGAGTCAGTCATAAAACAGGGAAAATCTTGATTGCTTCTCCAGCTGAAAATATAATAAAAATATTATTTCCATTGATTGCTTCTCCGGCTGAAAATCTTGTTTGTTTGTTTCTTTCCTCGGAAAAAAATTTCAGTGGATGCGTTCGAATAATTCTTAATTGAATTGTTTTTACTGCTTTTTTTGCCCAGAGCATTAAAATTGTGGACTTTCTGTAAAGAAAGCATCCACATTGTAAAGAGTAGACTTTCTAAGGGAGACATCAGACTTAATGTGTAGTACTAGTCATAATGCTGATGATTACACGTTTACATTCTAAAAATTGTGACGGAAACAATACATTTTGTTGCAACGATTGTTAAATATCACAATACAATTGCATCTTGTAGTTTTCTTTTCAGTTGATCATAATGTTGATTTTAATTCATTAAATGCTGTAATAGTTTAATGTATTTTGATAGAAAACATCATTAAAGCCAATGTTGCCGTCTCTTGTCTATTACAAAACTATTTCCAATTTATGTTTTCATCCCCAGGTGGTTATCTTGTTTCTTTCTTTCCAAATTTGACTTGGGTATACAAGTGCTTCACCAACTTATAAATTGCTGGTATCTTTTTTTTAATTGTTGAAAAAATTTATTTGCGATTACAATTTACAGCCCCAGCAACAAGGTGCTAGAGTTCGCCGACCCACTGCTACACCAAATCGCAAACCGGGTGCTAAAACACAAACTCCGAGTGAAGAACCACCCTCTTCTTCTTCTTCTAGCACATCCTCAAGTGATCATGAACTCGAGGAAGCACAGGAGTCGGGTCCTTCTCAAGTGCCTACAGTGGCTGCCCCTCTGGCAGGCTTGAATGCACAGAAAACTCCTCTGGCAGGCTTGAATGCACAGAAAACAACTTCAGTTCAACCCTCTGCTGAAGCCTCCAGCCATTCAAATTCAAAAGAAACTGAAGCAATTCAGATTGAATCGGCATCGCCTTCAGGAAATGAAAATGTAAAGACTCCCCCCGTGCAAGAGACAGTCATGGATGAAGTCATTCGGGATACAGGTGGCAGGTTGAGGAAAACCCGTTCTGCAGCAAATCGTGAGTCTGCTTCCTCCCCAACTTAATTTGCAATATGTGTAAGTAGTGGGACAATAGGTGCACAAACAGATTGGATTGTTGATGTTATGTACATTTGTCGTTTTCTATTCTGTTAGTTGCTGTGTCCATGATTTTTTTATTTTATTTTTTGAAGTTAGATTGGATTTAACCTGGTAGGGCCAAGGGAATCAACCTTTAATAATGATCAAGATAACACGATGACAAAGGCAATGGAAGTAAATACTGGCCTTGGTCCTTTTATATCACAACTGCCAAGTTGCATTAGGTATTAGATAAATTGAATATGTGTGTGTCGTTGAATATAGCAACTGAGTGATGCATGATCTAACTACCCCAATTTTTATTATACTCCTAAGAAAATGTGATATATATTTTCTTTTGGTACATAGTTCAGAATATAATTTAGATATGCAATTCATTGATATTTTTTCCAAAGCACAAAATGAAACAATGACACAATCAAGAACATGATTCAGACAGTAAGAGTTACTAATGGATGAGCAAGAAATCGGAGAGTTAGTTCTTTGTGCTTATGGATGGAGGTGCACCAATATCACCCATAGATTGACATAACTAGGCATTGTACTTGATGAGATAAACTGTTGAAAGAAAACAACACTTTTTCTTAGTTCGTTGTAATGGAATCTCCTTTACTAGTTCAGCAATTGGTCTGCGACGATGGATTATATATGTAGTAGTAGTAATAGTTTATGTTGAGACCGACAAGGGAACACAGTTGTCTCTATCTTTGGTTTAGAGAATGGTTGGCCAAACTGTATCCGACTTCTAACTACTATGATTTTATATGTAAGATGCTCTTATTATGCATATTATACATGTATAATAAGGAAGTAGCTGGCTAGTTAATACGATTGCATGCACGTTACTTATTATTTCACGTGGTGCTAACTGGTAGGGACTAAATGGCAAGATTGGAGGTGCTGTGATAATATATATATATATATATAGAGAGAGAGAGAGAGAGAGAGAGAGAAGCAAATGGGCATGGTTGCAGTCTCAGTCAGTTTTTTGTTGTTATTTGTCTTTTTTATAGTATGAATTATGATGATGATGATGACTCCTCGGCTCTTGAACCTTTTCTTTTGCTTCCTCTTGGAATATGGTTCTGCACTACATACAGTGTTATATGAAAAACTATCTGAGTTCAGTTCAGTTCCACTGATTCTTTTTTAGGATGCTATTTGAAATAAGTTTTAGAGACAGAGGTTCATTGGCCAATTTAAAGGGGAAATGAGCTGAATTTAATTAGTAAAAGAGAAGAACGTTCATGTTCTCTTATTATAATTACAGATATCAAGTTTATTGTCACATGGAATATTTAGTGACTTTTTGGGTAATTACATGAAACAAAGTTTTAGGCACTTTGGATCTGGTGAGGAGAAGAAATATCTTCATAGGGTATTTGCCTTTAGGCAGCAACAAAAGCATTTTCCAACATGCCAGTCCATTTTATCCAACTTTAGCCAGAGAAAGTAAAAGGAGAAAAGAACAAGTGAATAACTCCAAGTAAAACTGTTAAGTTTTCCTATCTAAGAAAAAAACATGTTATGTTATGTCATGTCATGTAGTATTAAGGCCAATTTTGCCATCCTAACATTCCACATGCCTAGTTTTATCCCCACATTTCTTGTAGCACTATCCACCATATTTTGATATTTAATTGATAGATGGTGGGAATATTTTTCTCAAAAAATGTTTATTTTTTTATTTTTATTTTTATTTTTTGCTGATGTTTATGGTTTCTAGGCTTTAACTTTCGTTCAAACTGAGAAAACAAAATTAGGTTGGAAGATCAAATTGAAACACTTTTTATATATTAAAATACATAAACATTGAGACTCAAATGCACATATCACATATTTTGGGAACTAGAATATAATTTTTAATTGAATTTCCATATATACTCTTGGTTTAACGAAATTTACAACTGGAATTAGGTTGGAAAGAATAAATTAAAATATTTTATATATTGGGGATCAAATTGATTGAACCATTTACTTTGACAACAAAAAAAGGTAATTAACTCAAAAATTTAAGGGTATATAGAGAGAGAAAGAGAAAAATTGAGTACAATTTTGAAAACTGTAGCTTAAAATGTAATTTTTTAAAAGTTGAAGAGGGGCATGTATCCTCGTCTCTTGGTGGCTGGTGGCCCTGCCAAGTATATGATATATATATATATATATATAGAGAGAGAGAGAGAGAACAATGTTGAGTTTGCTATCCATTGAAATGGATAGACATGGACATTGGAAGAAGCAAATGGGCAACCATATAGTAGTCTGGGTCCGTTCTTTCATCTTCTAGTCTTTTTCCATCGAAAAATTGCGAAAAAATAAAAAGACGAAGAAATAATTACTAAAAAGAGAGAATAAAATTGTATTTAGAGTATATCTAACGTTAATAGACATTTTACTTATTTAAACATTATTATAAAGTATAAATTTTATTTTGTCTATCAACTGTTTCATATTTTTACTCAAATCATACTCTTTAGTTTAGCTATTCATCAAAATACTATTAACTTTATAGAATGTCACATTAGCAGCAAAGATGGAGGAAAATGATCGTAATGATTAAATATTAAATACATTTTGCCTTACCTTTGAAGGCTAGCTACATGTAACTAGTGAATGTGAGTTGAGTTAAAATACCTAATCATATGCCTAGTGTATTTGAGTTTAAAAAAGTGAATTATATTAGATATTTTGGCTAACAAGTATTATATAGCTAGTGGGTTGGAGATGTTCTAGCATGGAGCTTTATAAAAAAAATTACAAAAGAATGAAAAAAATTGCACAATAACCCCTTTCATTTGTTTGCCCTAACTCTCTTTATTTCCTTCTCTCTTCTCTTTTCCTTCTCCCTCTCTATCCATTTTATCTTGCAACCACTTTTCCTTCACCTACCTCTGCTCATCAGTTAATCCCCTCTCTCTCTCTCTCTCTCTCTCTCTTTGTGCCTCTCTTTGCCGCCACTGTCATATCCAACATCATCCGACCACTGAGCCCCCACTGCTCATTGCACAGCCTTCACCCCTTACTTCTTTGACCAACACAACTCCCACATGTTCATCATCTGACCACTGCAGTTCTCACCTCTTTGCCTTACTTCACCTTTCTTCCATTTTCTCGTTGCCATCATCACAACTCCCCTCATATCCCACCTTTTGCCACCAACTTCACACTTCTGAAACCATATCGCTACGAGATTGGGCCTTGGCGACTGGATCATAACCCAGACCAACTTTTTCTCTCTTATGCTTTGAGTTTCGTGCTAGGATTTGTAGACGATGGATGGGGGCTTTAGGTTAGGGTTTATAGAGAGGGATTAGGAGGCGGAGGGAAAAAGAGAATAACGAGGTTGAAGAAGGTTGATAGTGGTGGGATGGCATGCGAGAGGTAGAAAATGAGGAAGGTTTGCAGGGAGGGGTTGGACAGTGGAAGAGAAGAGAGGAAAGAGAAGTTAAAGGAGGTTGGTAGTGGGAGCGATGGTGGCGAAATTTGAAGAAGATGAGTGCTTACAAAAAGGGTTAGGAGTGGATGTAAAGAGGAAGATAGAGATTGAAAGAGGTTAATGGCGCGACAATGGCAGAAAGAGTTGGGGAATGAGCCTGTGCTTAGCTTAGGGTTTGAAAGTTAGAGTAAGTGTGGAAAGAAAGACAGGAAAGAGAGATTGAAGGGGATTGGTGGCGGAATTAGGAGGTGGAAGGGCTACGATCGAGGTTTGTGGATGAAGGTTAACAGGGGTTAGGAATGGCGGCGATGGCGATAGTGATGGCGATGGTGACATTTGAAAGGGGTAAGAGAGGTAGTATTAACAACTACAGAAGGTGGACGTCAACAGGAGATGGTGAGGAGGGAGGAGAAAAAGAGAGGGTTTAAGGGAAAAAAAAGGCAACCCGGGTGTGCTACTGTGACCTAGTCACAGCAGCAATCTGCTGTGCTCTCATGGAGGATTTTTTCGAGTTTTTTTGATGATCTGAACCGTTAATATTGTAAAGTTTATTAAATAGATCAGCCATGCAAAAATTTAAATTGATTGGAAATCTATAACTTTATAATAACAAGAGTACATTTGTTTTTAAAAAATTAAACGGTTAACATTATCTCGATAATTTTTGTAAAACAATTTGATTCTGATCATAGGGTTACGGATTTCTGATTAACTTGATTTTTTGTATGGATGATATACCCGATGAACTCTACAATATGAATGGTTCGAATCATCGAAAAAGATTCGAAAAAAGCCCCTATGGGCTCACAGCAGATCGCTGCTGTGACTTACAGCAGTAGCCCCACCGAAAAAAGGTAGGGGCAAATTTGTAACTTTGTCCGTGATTTTATAATTATTTTTATTTTTATGTTTAGTTGACTTTTGTTAGATTCCCCCTTCTTTAAAAATTATTTCCTCATCTTTTTTTATTTTTTTTTACAAATTTTCCTTTTTAATTTTTATTTTTGTTTTTATACTTCTCTATCCTAAATTGTTTATTTGGAATGAAAACGATAACTTAAAAATAATATATTCTGGTACTATAAATTTTAATTTTTTCACCAATTAAAATATTTTTTAAGTACTTTTAATTTGTGAAACTTTTTTTTAAAAAAAATCAACACTAAAATATATAGGTAAATTACACTGACACCCCCTGAGGTTTATGTTTATTACAGTTCCCCCCTCACCTTTTGAAAATTATATCTCCCCCTGAGGTTTAAAGTTTCATTACAGATTCCCCCTCAACCCTTTTAATTTTTTTAAATACCAATTTTACCCTCATTGGGTAAATTACATTGACACCCCTCACCTTTTAGAAATTACAATTCCTTCCCTAAGGTTTAAAGTAGTATTACCAATTGCCCCCTTAGCTAGTATTAGTTGGAAAAAAAATTAATTGAAAAAAAAAATTGTTAGTAAAATTTTTAAATTTTTGTTTAAAAACTAACGTAAACTCATTTTTTGAATTTACATTTTTTCCTCAAATTTAAAAACTAAGACAACCATTTATAAACCAAAAAAATTATCAAACAAGTTTTTATGACAGTTTTGTAAATTTTGTAAATATAAATTAAAAACTGAAAACGAAATGGTTACCAAACAGG